GCTTTTTTGTTTGGTAGGCTATTTTTTTACTGCTTCAATTTTAGAACTTATTGGTCTAATCAAGGATTCTACTTCTTCCTGGTTTAGTGTTGTGAGGGTATATATGTCCAGGAATTTTTCCATTTCTAGATTTTCTAGTTTATTTGCGTAAAAGTGTTTATAGTATTCTCTGATGGTAGTTTGTATTTCTGTGGGGTCAGTGGTGATATCCCTTTATCATTTTTATGGTGTCTATTTGATTCTTCTCTCTTTTCTCCTTTATTAGTCTAGCTAGCAGTCTGTTTTATTAAGTTTTTATAAAAACCAGCTTCTGGGTTCATTGATTTTTTTTTTTGAAAGATTTTTCGTGTCTCTATCTCTTTCAGTTCTGCTCTGATCTTAGTTATTTCTTGTCTTATGCTAGCTTTTGGATTTCTTTGCTCTTGCTTCTCTAGTACATTTAGTTGTGATGTCAGGGTGTTGATTTGAGATCTTTCTAGCTTTCTGATGTGGGCATTTAGTGCTATACATTTCCCTCTTAATGCTGCTATAGCTGCAACCCAGAGATTCTGGTGTTGGCTCTTTGTTCTCATTGGTTTCGTAGAATTTCTTGATATCTGTGTTAATTTCATTATTTACCCAGGAGTCATTCAGGAGCAAGGTTGTTTAATTTCTGTGTAGTTGTGTGGTTTTGAGTGAGTTTCTTAATCTTGAGTTCTAATTTGATTGGCTTGTGGTCTGTGAGACTGTTACGATTTCAGTTCTTTTGTATTTGCTGAGGAGTGCTTTACTTCCAATTATGTATTTGATTTTAGAGTAAGTGCCATGTGGCATTAGAAGAATGTATACTCTGTTGTTTTGGGGTGGAGAGTTCTGTAGATATCTATCAGGTCCCCTTGATCCAGAGCTGAGTTCAAGTCTGAATATCCTTGTTAATTTTCTGTCTTGTTGATCTACCTAATATTGGGAGTGGAGTGTTAAATTTTCCCACTATTATTGTGTGGGAGTCTAAGTCTCTTTGTTGGTCTCTAAGAACTCATTTTTTTTTTTTTTGAGACGGAGTCTCGCTCTGTCTCCCAAGCTGGAGTGCAGTGGCGCGATCCTGGCTCACTGCAAGCTCCGCCTCCTGGGTTCACGCCGTTCTCCTGCCTCAGCCTCCCGAGTAGCTGGAACTACAGGCGCCCGCCACCGCGCCCGGCTCATTTTTTGTATTTTTAGTAGAGACGGGGTTTCACCATGGTCTCGATCTCCTGACCTTGTGATCCGCCCGCCTCGGCCTCCCAAAGTGCTGGGATTACAGGCGTGAGCCACCGCGCCCGGCCTCTAAGAACTCATTTTATGAATCTAGGTGCTCCTTCATTGGTTGCATATATATTTAGGATAGCTCATCATGTTGAATTGTTCCCTTTATCATTATGTAATGCCCTTCTTTGTCTTTTTTGATCTTTGTTGGTTTAAAAGTCTGTTTTGTCAGAAACTAGGATTGCAACCCTTGCTTTTTTTTTTTTCTTTCCATTTGCTTGGTAAATTTTCCTCCATCCCTTTATTTTGAGCCTATCTGTGTCTTTGCATGTGAGACGGGTCTCTTGAATACAGTTCACTGATGGAACTTGACACTCTGTCCAATTTGCCAGTCTGTGTTTTTTTATTGGGGCGTTTAGCCCATTTACATTAAAAGTTAATATCATTATGTGTGAATTTGATCTCATCAACATGATGCTAGGTTGGTTATTTTGCCCGTTAGTTAATGCAGTTTCTTCATAGTGTGCTTTGTCTTTCTTTGTATTTCAGGGTGTTTTTGCAGTGGCCAGTACCAGTTTTTCCTTTCCATATTTAGTGCTTCCTTCAGGAGCTCTTGGAAGGCAGGCCTGGTCGTGGCAAATTCCCTCACCATTTGCTTGTCTGAAAAGGATTTTATTTGTCCTTCTCTTATGAAGCTTAGTTTGGCTGGATATGACATTCTGGTTTGAAAAATCTTGTCTTTAAGAATGTTGAATATTGGCCCCCACTCTCTTTTGGCTTGCAGGGTTTCTGCAGAGAGATTTACTATTAGTCTGATGGGCTTCCCTTTGTAGGTGACCTGGCCTTTCCCTCCTGCTGCTCTTTATATTTTTTCCTTCATTTTGACCTTGGAGGATCTCATGATTATGTGTCTTGGGGTTGATTGTCTTGTGGAGTATCTTACTGGAGTTCCCTGTATTTTCTGAATTTGAATGTTGGCCTCTCTTACTAGGTTGGGGAAGTTCTCCTGGATGATACCCTGAAGTGTGTTTTCCAACTTAGTTCCACTCTCTCTGTCTCTTTCAAGTACTTCAATCAGTCATAGGTTTGGTCTTTTTACGTAGTCCCATAGTCTCAGAGGTTTTGTTCGTTTCTTTTCATTCATTTTTCTCTGTCTGTCTTATTTCAGCAAGATAGTCTTCAAGCTCTGATATTCTTTCTTCTGCTGGATGGATTTGGTTATTGATACTTGTTTATGCTTCACGAAGTTCTCGTGCTGTTTTTTTCAGCTCCATCAGGTTAGTTATGTTCCTCTCTCAAATGGTTAGTTAGCAGCTCCTGTAACCTTTTATTTTGGTTCTTAGCGTCTTTTCATTGGGTTAGAACATGCTTCTTTACCTCAGTGAAGTTTGTTACTACCCGCCTTCTGAAGCCTACTTCTAAAAATTTGTCCATCTCATCCTCCATCCAATTCTGTGCCCTTCCTGGAGAGGTGTTGCGATCATTTGGAGAAGAGGCACTCTGGCCTTTTGGGTTTTCAGCACTCTTTCGTTGATTCTTTCTCATCTTCATGAGTTTGTCTAGTTTCGATCTTTGGGGCTGCTCACCCTTGGATGAAGTTTTTGTGGGGACTCTTCGTTGATGCTGTTGTTGTTGTTTCTGGGTTTTTTTTTTTTTTTTTTTCTATAGCCAGGTCCGTCTTCTGTGGGGCTGCTGAGGTTTGCTGGGAGTTCACTTCAGGCCCTGTTAATCTGGGTTGCTCCTATACCTGGAGATGTCACCTGAGGAGGCTGGAGAATGGTAGAGATGGGTACCTGTTCCTTTCTCTGGGATCTCTGTCCTCGAGGGCCACCGACCACTTCCCTTGGCTGGGAGTAGGGGCTCCCCTGCCCTGTGTGGCTCTCAGGTGGGCCATTGCACCACCTTGCTCTTCCCACCTCCCTGTGGGTTACCCCAACTGCCTAGTCAGTCCTGATGAGAGAACCTGGATACCTTGGTTATCAGTGCAGGATTCACATGCTGTTTTGGTTCGGAGCCTCTGATCGCCACTGCTTCTAGTTGGCCATCTTGGCCCCTTATTTTTGTATTTCTTACCCTGGAGAAAACAAAATAATTTTTATGTATTCATGAACCATAAATATTGTATGCATTTTACTGTTGTGAACAGTATGTAGTAGTAATCTGGGTTTTTTGGGCTAATCTAGGTGGGGGAAATGTTTAAAATGTGGTTCATTTGAGGTTCTTTATCTTAATCAGCCTATTTGAAATCTTACTTTTGGACTTCTGTGTTTACTCTAGCAGGAAATTTCCAAGTCTGGGACGCTGGGCTCTGATGTAGATAGGGAAATGGAAAATGCTATAAAAGAGCTGAGAAGGAGAGAGGAAGAGAGAAGTAAAAAGAATAATGGGAGCTGGAGTAGGTCTCATTTTGATGTTAATTGTGTATTCCTTTTTCTGAGACGGTATATGCACGTGCACGTGAGGGAATGTGTGGGCTAGTGTAGGTATAAGGTTGCCGCATAAAATTCAGGCTAGAAAGGACAAAAAAATGGCATTTTAAAAAATGAATATCCCATTATTTTCATATGCCTACCTGACTTTGAAATCTGTGCCAATATTTTTTCTTTCAGAGAATAATTCTCTAATTCAAGTTTAAAGTGAGGTAATTGGTTTTCAGAAGACCTCTTTAACAAAAAAATTTTTAAGCTGGAGAGGAGTGATGAACTCATTTTCTGATTCTTTTTTTAGATGGTTTCCATGTGTCGCATGCCGTCATATGAGATTAGATTTATATCATCGAGATAGGATTGTAAACATAACACTTTAGTCTTTATGCTTATAAAATAGGAGCCTTTAATATAACTGGTTATTACATTGCTAGAAATACCCTGGGATCAAGTCAAAGTTCCTGAAAATCATGCAGCACTTTGAGTTGTTGGTTCAGAAGCTCCAAATCAACGTATAACAAAAATAATATATATATATTTTGAGACAGGGTCTTGCTCTGTCCCCAGGCTGAAGTACAGTGATGGTATCATGGCTCACTGCAGTCTCGACCTCCCAGGCTCAAGTAGTTCTCCCACTTCAGCCCTCTAGTAGCTGGGACTACAGGCGTACCCTACTATACCCGGCTACTTTTGTTGTATTTGTAGAGGGGATTTTGCCATGTTGCCTGCAGTGGTCTTGAACTCCTGGGCTCAAGCGATCGTTCCGCCTTGGCCTCTCACAATGCTGGGATTATAGGCATGAGTCACCATGCCCACCCTTAAATTCTTAAAATTTGAGAAAGAATATAAATTTGGTTATCTGCAACTTGTGCGTGATCATTTCCCCCCATCCATCTCCCTAGCCTCATCTGGTATCTCCGTGCTGTGTTTATCAGCCTCACTAACCTTTAATGCTTTGAAATTACTGAACTCCATTCTACTGAAGGTCCCTGGTAAATGTTCTTTCTTTGCCTGGACTGCCTTCTAGTCTTTTTAAAATCTGATTCAACGTTGTAGGTCTCAGCATAAATATTATTTCTTCAGGCATACCTTTCCAAATCCTTGTTGTAGACAAGTTCTCCCTTTCTTGTACTTTTCCATTGCAGAACTATCAATTTGTAAGTAAATAATTTGGGGAGTAAGAGATGGGCCTGTTTTGTTTGCATCTGTATCCCCTAGTAAGTAGCTGTGTTTCAATAAACATGTATTGAATTAATGAATACACATGTGATATTTGTATCCCTTTTTTTTGTGATTAAATATTTACCTTATTTTTTTTCATGGAAGTAAAATATTAATTTTTTTTCTTTGAAGAGTTTGGCTGAATTGGAAGTGTTATGTACTCATCTCTACGTAGGGACTGATCTTACACAAAGAATAGAGGCTGAGAAAGCACTCTTGGAACTTATTGACAGCCCAGAATGTCTCAGCAAGTGTCAACTTTTATTAGAACGAGGAACAGTAAGTATTTGGTAACAATGATTAACCATGAAAGATCAGTAGATGTATGTCATTGTTAATGAACGCCTGTGTTAGCAGTGGTAACTGATAGATACTGCCACATGGTTTTTTTGTTTTTGTGAAACGGTAGTTTCACTGTTAAAGGGATTAATCAGGAAAAGAATTGGAAAACCTGGAAAGCAAACTTAGGGAGGAGCCAGGAAATGAAGTAGGAATGAATTGAGATAGTTTCTTGATTACTATTGGTCTCTTTTTATGTCTCATATTAGTGGGCAAAAATTACATTTTTAGAAAGTTGACTAACAACTTTAAAAAACCTAGATAGGGGAGGCAGATTGTAATTACCTCAGAAACATGAAAGGATGATTCGAAAGCATGCTGATTACCTCTTGCCTGCCTCCCATCTAGATATTCGTAGTCTAGACATTCATATTCATTTAGTAAAATATTTAAATGTCAAACCAGGCGCTGTACTGCGTACTTGATTTATGTACATGAATTAAAGTAGCTCTTTGTTTAGTTGGAGAGGCAGATATATAAATAGCTATGAAATGATTGCAGTAAGAGACTGTGTGTTCTAGAGCAGAGTTGGCAAACTTTTTCTGGAAGGGTCAGATAGCAAATATTGTAGACTTTGTGGGCCAGGAGACAAAATGGAAGATATTTAGTAAGAACATCTATAGAAAGGGAAAAAACAAATTTCTACGAAGTTTTATTGATGAGATTCAAAATATAATAATCTGATACAGATTTTTTAATAATACAGGTCTGTTACTGAAGAGAATAGAACTGTTTTTTGGGGGGATAACATTTTGCTATTATTAATTGGAGTTTAGAGTTGTTTTCTATCATCAACATTGATTGCAAATGTTCATATGTTAATGCTGATCTATAATGAGATTTTACATATCTTATATTTGAAAATATCTTTTCACATAGATAGGCACTGCCAAATACTAATAATCAGTCTATGAGCATATGATTATAATTAAGCACATTCATCATTTAGAAGGCATTTAAAAAATTCTGTTAAATCATGATATTTGCCTTTTAGCATGTCATTATACTGCAGATTGACCACTTCCAATTGAAGATTAGGTGGGAGCTCTTAATTGCACAGTTAAATGGATTTTATAATATGGAAATTGCCTTTACACTTGCATCAAGATCTGAAGCTGGAGCTGTAGTTGAAGCTCAGAAAATATATCTCTGAATAGAGATCTCACTACTTGTTTTAACTTTTGACAATGTGGGAAGTATATAAAGCTGCCTGACATTACTTGCAATTCAAATGACGTTATCAAAATGGCTTTACTGCAGTATAAGTTCTGCATATAGGTTCTAAGCACTTTTTAGGCAATTTTGTAATTTTAAGTTGAATTTATTAAGGAACGTTACCAATTTTGCAGCAAAAAGTAAGTTCCAAAGCCATTTAGTGTTGAACAATGGTGACTTGGTTGTCTCATTCAGAAAATTTAGCTTTATTCCTGAGCTAAAAAAATAGCAGTGAAACTTTATCACTGATAAGCTATTAAACTATTGTGTGATGAGACAAGTGAGAATATTATTTCCAATACAGAATATTCAGATACTGCTTCTTTATCTTATAGAAATGAACAGAACTAAAGTTCACAAAAGTGAATGAAGTCCACTGTTAGCACTACTGATTCATTAACTTAAAATAGATTCATATATTTACCACACAGTATCTGCCGGTGAACAATATGGTGAATAACCATAGGCTTTAAACGTGTTACATTTTTCACAAGATTTGTAAGTTTGTTCAGCTAAGCCCTTTTCTGCTCCATATGTTTTTACCACTAGTGTGACATATCGTAGCAGATTCTACTTCAGTTTATATTGAATTAATGTGTCCTCAACTTCTTTGAAAATATTCTGGCCTGTAGTTGTCCCACAGTCTTCATAGAGGCCAATTCTTTAGTTGCGTCACAGCATTGACTTCTAGAATAAACAGATAGTAAGTATTGGTAACATTAAGAGTATAAGCGTTATGAGAAACATCTGTCCACTCATCAAGACTTAAGGAGAACCTTTCCAAATCATTTGTCTTGTTTTCAAATTGACTTTTGATGTTGTTCCAATGTCTTCAACTCTTTGAGAATTTGTTCCCACCAGAAACTAGTAATCTTATTTTCTCTGCACACATAACTTTGGCCGCTATAATAAAACAATGATGATTTAATTAACTCATCATTGGTAAATGGCTGTGTGATTGACTAACAAATGAGCCACTTGGAAACTTTGGTTGCAGTCTCATTTTTTATATTTGTAAAGACAGTCTACTATGATGAGATAATCAAATTTCCTATTTTTTCTGACTTTTGATTTCCTGAGTTGGGAATATTTTGATGGGAATATTGGGGATATTACTTGGTCTGATATTATCAGTGTGTATTATATTCTTTTAGGACAACCATAGTACCATTGCATAAAAAGCACATTGTTTTGCCATGTAATCAATAAAAGAATAGTCCACACTCCTTTGTGCCTTAAAAATTAGATATTTGAAGTCCACTTTTATTTTTTCTTATTTTGATATGATAGACATACGCTGGTAATAATAAAAGGTATGTGTCATGTCATGAAAACACCCATGGCTCTCTAGGCACTGTAGAGTTGTGCCTACCTTACTGCGGTTTATGATACTCTGAGCAGCAGTAGGAAGCACTGAGCGCCACGTGTGGTCTCTGTCTTAACTATTCAATTCTGCCATCGTGGCATGAAAGCCGCCATAGGCAGTGTGTAAATGAATGAGCGTGGCTGTGTTTTAATAAACTTTATGGACACCAAAATATGGATTTCACATATTTTTCTGTCACAAAATATTGTTATTGTTTGATTTTTTTGAACAGTTGAAAAGCTGTTTAAAATTGTAAAAAACATTCTTGGATCACAACCTATGTAAAAACAGGCAGGATTTGGTCAAGGGCCATAGTTTGCCAGCCTCTGGTCTAGAGAAAAAAAGAGGGAGTATCTTTGCAAGAATTTCTAGGAGGTGGAGTGAATACGTGAACCAAATTTTAAAGAGTGAGCATGCATTTAGAGAGTTTGAGTACAGTATTAAGATAATTGGGGGCCAGAGAGAATATAGTCAGACATGGGTTTCAAGGAACACGGAGGTCAGGGTGGGGAAGATACGGAAAGGAACCTGAAGGCTATCATGGTCAGAGCAAAGTCAAGAATGGAATCAGATGAATTTGAAGAGATAATCAGAGGCCAGGTGGTGTAGGGCTGTAGACCATGGTAAGAGTACTGTATTTTATTTGAACTTACTGAGTAATTTATTTCTCCTGTTTGCTTATTGTTATTTGAGATGACTGTCTATACCTCCCTCAACTAATGATTTCTTATGAGAGATTATATGCCTGTGTATGTGTATCCTTTTCTGTATATATGTATCTCAAATTGACGTATTTTATCTGTTGTAAATTTGCCTGTTTGGAAAACCAGAAGAATTTCTGTTATTGCTCAGAAGAACATTTCTATCACAATGCTTTATTTTAATTTCATTTATGATAATAATTATTCTTTACAGACATCCTATGCTCAGCTCCTTGCAGCAACATGTCTTTCAAAACTTGTCAGCCGTGTCAGTCCTTTACCTGTTGAGCAGAGGATGGACATCAGTAAGTGGCTTATTATGCTTTTTCACTAACTGTGCTTTAAAAAAACTTCTTCTTTTAAATATACTAAAGTGTTACTAGGATTGCAAATTTTTTGAGTCTGTCATTTTTTAAAACATGAGTATCAAGTCTCATTTACTCATCTATTGATGAACAATGTTGTGTTACATAAAGCAATCTCTAATCAAAAAAGGTTTTTTTTTTTTGAGACAGAGTCTCGCTCTGTTGCCAGGCTGGAGTGCAATGGCGCGAGCTCAGCTCACTGCAAGCTCTGCCTTCTGGGTTCAAGCAATTCTCCTGCCTCAGCCTCCCAAGTAGCTGGGACTACAGGTGTGCGATACCATGCCCAGCTAATTTTTGTATTTTTAGTAGAGACAGGGTTTCACCATGTTGACCAGGATGGTCTTGATCTCTTGACCTCGTGATCCACCCGCCTTGGCCTCCCAAAGTGCTAGGATTATAGGCGTGAGCCACCGTGCCCGGCCAAAAAAGCATTTATTTAATAGTAAACAATAACTAGCATTTTGTGTACTATTTGTTAAGATTTGTGCTATCTCATTTTATCCACCAAATAAGATTTTTGAGTTATCCTCATTTCACAAATGAGGAAATTAGATTTGCAGACAGGCTCTGTCATGTGCCCAAGATCACACAACTAGAAAGTAGTAGAGTTATGATTCAAAACTCCTCTACCTGTTTAGAGTCCAGGCTCTTAGCCATTATCTTAACTTGATATGCAACTGAATGACAGGACAGAATTCAGCTCTCTAGTGTTTTTCAGGATGCTGTATCAAAATCATTTGGCGTATATGTAAAATAAAAGCAGGTTCTTATTAGGAAGATAATTTATGTATGGATAAACAGTGCTTGGAACTTTACTTGAAAAAATGATTCTATAAAGTAGCAGTATGTTTTTCAGAGTTAATGTATTTTAAGTTTTTGTGTGTATGTAAGTAGTTTGCATTTCATATGGACAAAATTGTAATAATTGAGGTATGGGGTGTTTTTGGTCATCTTTGTTCATATTAGAAATAGATTGTTGACTCATTTCTGTTGTTCAGCCTCAAGGTTAACATAATTTATATTTATCAGAAAAGTTAAAATGTATGTGATGGATCTTTAGGTTTAAATTTGAATGATCGAAGTCTCCGAATGATACATTGTTTTCCTCTATATTGACTGTTATTTCTGTAAGCACTCTGAGTCTTAGGTACTGCAGAAAGCCTTGAGAAAGATTTATCTACTGTTGAACTTTACTTAAGAAAGCAAAGGAAAGGAGTTTACAGTTTTACAGTTTTAAAAATAAGGGTTCAAATAATATAAAGCTAAGTCATAAAACTTGTGATTTTGTTTATTATACTTTTCCACACACACCTTTTAAATATATTTAATTTTTTTAGAGCAGTTTTGGGTTCACAGCAAAATTGAGCACAAAGTACAGATAATTTCCATATACCCTCTGCTGCCACACATGCACAGCTTCCCAACTGTTAACATCCTGCACCATAGTAGTACATTTGTTACAATTGATGAACCTACATCCACACATCCTCATTAACCAAAGTCTGTAATTTACATTAGGGTTCACTCTTGGTGTTGTATTTCTATGGATTTTGACAAATGTGTTAATACAATGACATGTATCCACCAATATAGTATTATACAGAATAGTTCTACTGCACTAAAAATTTGCTGTGTTCTCTGCCTATTCATCCCATCCTCCCCCAACCCTGATCTTTTTACTGTCTCCATAGCTTTGCCTTTTCCAGAATATGATATAGTTGGAATCATACAGCCTGAGGTATCAGTCATACATGTAGGCTTTTCAGATTGGCTGCTTTCACTTAGTAATATGCATTTAAGGTTCCTCCATGTTTTTTTCATGGCTTAATACCTCATTTCTTTTTAGCACTGAATAATTCTTCGTTGTCTGAGTGTACCGCAGTTTACCCATTCACTTACTGAAGAGCATCTTGGCTGCTTCCAAGTTTTGATAATTATGAATAAAGCTGCTATAAACATACATATGTGGGTTTTTATGTGCCCATTTTCAGCTCCTTTGGATAAATACCTTAGAGCACAATTGCTGGATTGTATGTTAAGAGTATGTTCAGTTTTATAAGAAACCACCACACTGTCTTCCAATGTGGCTGTACCATTTTGCATTCCCACCAGCCATGAGTGAGAGTTCCTGTTACACCACGTCCTTGCCAGCAGTTGACATTTTCTGCATTTTGGCTATTTTGATAGATGTGTAGTGGTATCTCCTTGTTTTAGTGTGTGTTTCCCTGAGAACATATGATATACAGCACCTTTTTATGTGCTTATTTGACATCTGTACAGTTGACCCTTGAACAGTGCAGATATTAGGGGCTTTGACCCCCTGTGCAGTCAAAAATTCACTTACAACTTTTGACTCCCCCAAAACTTAACCACTCATAGTCTACTGTCGACTGGAAGCTTTACCAGTAACATAAAAACAGGCTGACCAATCCACATTTTGTATGTTATATGTGTTATATACTATATTCTTTGAATAAAGTAAGCTAGAGAAAAGAATATTATTTGGAAAATTATAAGAAAGTTAAAATGTATTTACTATTCATTAAGTGGAAGTGGATCATCATAAAGATCTTTATCCTTACCATTTTCACATTGAGTAGGCTGAGGAAGAGAAAGATGAGAGATTGGTTTTACGGTCTTGGGTGGCAGAACTAGAGGAGGCAGGAAAGGCAGGAGCCCTGGGTATAACTTTATGGAAATACATTGTAATTTCTGTCTGACTTTTTTGCTTTTTCATTTCTTTAAAAATGTTTCTGTAAAGTACCAATCCTTCTATGTTCACTTTAAATTCAGTGCCTGTATCATAGAGAGGTCCATGTCATAAAAGAAGTCGGAATAATGAAAACGTTTCTGTCAGGTTGTCTAATGTTCATTTTTTTTTTTCCTGGCACTGCTGTTTCTACTACATCTTCTACCTAATCATGTGGCACTGGTTCAGATGCACTCATCTCCATGAAATCATCTTCTGTAAATTCTGGTGTTTCTTTTGTTAGATTCCCTAGTAGGTGTAGGTTTCTCCCTTGTGTAAAACTTAGCAATTTATAGGAAACTTTGATCTTTTCTTTCAAATGAGGAATGTCTGACAGGCTTAGACCTTTTGTCCCCTTTACTTAGAGTTGAAGTTAGTAAATCCTTAATGGCTTTTTAGTAGCAGACTTCCAAAAGATCCCGGATTTTTAGCATACTTTTAATTTCAGGTTTTCAGCTGACTTTAGCTATAGTATACAGTAGGTTAAGACTCATGTCTATGACTTTTACTCGAAGAACAGCAGTAAAGTACAGAAGTCTTCTATATTTAGCCAAGATTTATTTCAGTAGAAGATAATCTTCTCTGACTACTCTTTGAGATTGGAATAAGCCTTTAAAGATAAACCTTAAAATTCTCATTTTATGGTAATATCGTCCATTTCAGTTCCCTAGGTTTGGCATAGGGGATAGTGACTGTACTGGTGTGTGACTCTCTTCCTGGAGATTTCTTCCTGAAAAATGTAAGAGCTGTTGGTAAGAGCAGACTTGCACTGATGATAGTTGATCTCTGGTCTACAAAGATTTTGTAACTCCTTGGAAAGCCTCTTATAATCATTCTTGACCTCTTTGTAGCTAAAAATTTAGAGTAGTTAATCTGTAGGAATGCACTTCTGGGGGCCAAAAATGTGACTGACTTGGGAACAATTCTTAAACTGATTAGCTGTAATATAGTTTTGTGAATTTATTGCACTGATCCTGTACCTTGTGGTTATATTTGTCCCTATTACAGAAGTGTTGTTTTGTCTTCTTTAATATTGCTTGTAAACAGTAGTGCCCATTGAAACATATTTGATTTTTTAAAAATGTTTCCTATGAAAACTACCTATTAGTTTTATTAGATCTTGAATTTCTCCAAGATCCATATCTTGAAACCTTCACTCTCCACCTTTTTTTTTTTTTTTTTGCCATATCCAGTCTCTTTCATAATTTCCTCGATTGGCTGTGTTGTAAATCCTGTGAAATCATGTACAACATCTGGACAGAGCTTCCTCCAGCAGGAATTTATTGTTTCAGGCTTGATGGCTTTCATGGCTTTTTCTGTAACAACAATGGCATCCTCAGTGGTAAAATCCTTCCAGACTTTCATGAATGTTCTCTCTGTGGGAGTTCTCTTCCATAGTGTTGACAATCCTTTTTATACAGTACCGTGTGTCATGAGCTTTGAATAAAGGTCCTTATGACCCCCTAATTTAGAGGCTAAATTAGAGATGTGTTTGGGGGCACATGGACCACTTTAATGTCCTCATTGAACTCATGGAGTTCTGAGTGGCCAGGGACATTGTCCAATATGAAAAGAACTTTAAAACGTATTTCCTTACTGGCAAGGTACTTACTAACATCAGGGACAAAGCATCTATGTCTGGCTAATTTTTTGTATATTTTTTGTAGAGATGGGGTGTCACCATGTTGCTCAGGCTGGTCTCGAACTGCTGAGCTCAAGCGATCTACCTGCCTCACCCTCCCAAAGTGCTGGGATCATAGGTGTGAGCCACTCTGCACGGCTACATCCGAGTTTTTAAAAAATGTCGTAAGTCTCCAAAAAATTTTCCGATATATTTATTGAAAAAAATCTACGTGTAAGTGGTTCTGTACAGTTCAAACTCATGTTGTTCAGGAGTGAACTGTTACCTTCTTTGGAGAGGTATCTGTTAAGGTCATCGGCCCATTTTTTTCAGGTTGTATTCTTATTTTTGAGTTTTAAGAGTTCTTTGTGTAGTTTGGAAAACGGTTCCTTTGGTATGTCTTGTGCAAATATTTTCTCCTGATCTGTGGCTTTTTATTCTCTTGACAGTGTCTTTTGCAGAGCAGAAATTTTTCATTTTCATCACAGAGTTTACCTTATTCATTCTTTCTTTTGTGGATCATGCCTTTGGTGTTGCATCTAAAAAGTCATCACTGAACCAAGGTCACTT